TAAGATTGAGAGTCTGGGGAGGAATAGGCAACAGGGTTTCTAGAGAGAGAGTACCAGAGATGAGAAAGCTCCACAGAAAAAGGAAAGAGCAGCCCACACAAGGCTGCTAGTCCTTCCTGGTAGAGTGATAAATCACATAATTCATGGGACATCGGGGGGAGTACTCAGAAGTGTTTGTTTCAGCATTGCGGTAACATAAGCTGTAGTTAACGCTGTTCTGGTCCCATCTAACAAAGCTTGAAACCAAGAACTGAAAGGATTACTATGTTTCTAAGTAACTGAATTGCAAGAAAAAAACAGCTTGAGAATATTTGTGTATTCAAAGTTTTAAAAATGTTCATGTCTTCTGGACAAGGGTGAAACGAGGTAAAATCATGATTTCACAATACCTGGCATCCATTCAGATATTACTAGGCATGCAAAGAAGCAGGGATATATAGTCAATCATTAGGAGAAAATTAATTGATCTATCTATCCAAACTGGAAATGATAGAATGAGTAGACACACAGATATAACAGTATTTTATTTTTTTCAAGACACAAAAAGACAGATTAAACTGGTTAGAGATGTAGAATATATAAAAAGCCCCACAATTAACCTGAAGAGGCAAAAACTATATCTGACATAAAAATGTATACATACATTAGATTTAAGCACTGAAAGAATAAAACAGATTAGTGAACCATGTATATGAAAATTATCAAAATATAGTATTATATCACATCTATATATGGGAAAAGATCTAGAATTAGCTTTAAAATTATATGTACCCAATGTTAGTTGTGTTCTCCTTTGAGGGGCAGCATTTCTCAGTTGTAAAGGGGGCTATCATCAGGTCTCAGTCCATTTAGAGTGCCTTGCAACAAGTATACATGCAGTTATTTTAGTAATCAAAATATGAAAATAAGCCTAAAACAGAAACAGGAGAGGTGTTCTAACCAGAAAAAGTTACTGCTAAATGATGTAACACAGCTTGACATATGAACAGTGTAATACAATAAAAGTCTATTTCTCTATGTGGCTTGGTAGATATTCTGTGCTAACAGGTGACATGGGGGCCTAACAGCTTGCTTCTTGTAGGTCAACTGTAAACACGTTATTTCCGTGTTCACTGATTAATGCAATTAAAATGTGGATGGTGGGAAAGTGGATGTCAAATGTTTGGGCCCGGAAATGACAGTGTTTCTGCTCACAGATCAAAGGCAAGGGCTGGCCATAGCAGCCTTTCCAACTACAAATGAACTTGGTACTATAGTTTCCCCATGGGCCCAGGAAGGAAAGGAAAACAAGATGGGGATAAGCATTTGCAGTCTCTCCCATAAATTGTTATAAATAGGTGCTTCATAGAATGTTGATGTCAGAATTTTTTGTGACAACCACCCTCTTTATTTCCTGCTAGAGTTGCCGAGGAGGCCAAATTTCCTTGTGATTCTCGAAAGTTTTTGAGATTGTACTATGTGACAGTTGTTCACAAACACAGGCTCATGTCCACTTTTCTAAAGGATCCTGTAAAGTATTGGCGGGGAAGGTTGACCTACTGCACCCCAACCCCCATAGCAGTTTTCTTCATTGACCTAAGCAGTAACTTGTAAAATCTGAATAGGATAAGAACTTTTCTTCTTCATTGAACCCAATGCCTGGAAAAAAATCTATGAGTTTCTGCCACCCTCGATGGTGAAAGACTAGTGTGGGTGCCATTAGGCACAAGGAAAAAGTAGCATTTCCCCTTGAACCAGTAGTTAGACAAGAGGCTATAGAAGGTCACTGAGTTATTTTTAAGCTTGCTGACCAAAAATGGCATGCCTGTCAAGAAACTATTTCAGCCCTGGAAAACCTCCAGGGATTTTAGGAAATTAATCCTCACTAGATGTTTCCCAAGCAATGATTTCCATGTTTTTGGATCTTTCTTATGGATCTATCACTTATGAGGGAGGCTTTGGTCCTTAACCACATAGGTAACCTCATATTTGTATGTGTTCAGTGGCCAATCTCAAAAACAAAACAAACACTGAAAAGAAAAGGCTCATTACAATTCCAATGCAACTATCAAAGTAACTTGAAACTCTGCTCGCCAGCTTCAACTTTGTGAGTTCTATGATCTGTCAGTGTATACTCACCAGGAATTAGGGGAAACCTTCTGAGAATGTGGAGGAAATGTCCAGGGAGTGGACATGTTTAAATGCCAATATCAAAGTTACTTTTTATGTGGAACAGGACCTTGCTACCTCAGGGGTACATGGTGAGTGATGGGGCCATGAGGGAATTAGAAAGCTCACAGTCAGAAGGAGGGCAGTTGATTTTTCTCCTGTTTCTACCACTGGATTCAAGGTGCAGCTTTCAGAGGAAGATTAGAGTCAGCCAGCAGATCAGGTTCCAGTTTGGATAAGAGTGTGCCCTGGGGAAGATCTGAGGGAGGGACACTATAATGTAGACAGAGCTGAAGTTAGACAAAATTTACCAGTCTCTAGGCAGAGCTTGCTTGCAAGGAAACCCAGGGCTCACAGTGGACATCCCTAGTTAAAGGAAGCCCACACACCATGGCTGAATTGCATTTCTTCTTTCAATCTTCCTTCCTTAAATCCGCCTTAAGTTCTTTGGCTATGACATCCTTGTTTTTATATCCTAAGGGGCATTAACAAATAATGAAAAGGGAAATAAATGAGGAGACTGAAGGTCTGACTCAGACTGGGAAGAGTGAAACAGAGTGGGCTGTGGATGAATTCAGAGAATAGTCCTAGTTCCAGCTCTGCCACACACAAGGCAAGTGAAATCAAGGACAAGCATAAGCTCTCTGGGCTTGAGGAACTTCATATCTGATTCTGATTGTGATAAACCCTGCCTTTCCAGAACTGTTGGAATGTGTTGAAGTCTATAAAGCACATGGCACAAGGTCTGGTGTTTTAAAACTTTAGTGGATCAGCAAGTTTCACTTTGATTATGTTAATCCCCAATCCCACTACCCTCATCTGTATGTAAGTGTGTGAGTGAGTGGGTTTTCCAAATCTAGGTTTTCTTAGAAAACCTAAGTGCATAGGGCATAGTCAGAAAAAAGCGTTCCTCTGCAAGGAAACTTTGTAAAATCATCCCCTCAGAGTTTGTGTTCTTTAATTTGGGTGTGGGAATGTCCTCTCCAGCTGTATGGAAATCACATTTCCCAGAACTTGTGTCAAGGACCAGCTCCTCACTTCCCTCCCAGCTGCCCTTTATAAGGGATCAGAATATTTCACTACTAAATATGTCTCTTTGGTATATTGCTTATTTTGAATTAAAGGTGCCTGAGAAACAACTCATGCAGGAGGGACACACTGATCCTCCTTTGTCCCCCTGAAAACAGAATATAAATCTCCCATGTGAAAGCTGTCCTTCCTATGCCACAGACACAGGCATCCTTATCTGTGAAGAACCGGGATTTAGGACCTAGAAGGCTATACAAACAAACCTTGTTACTTCTTCACCAACTTACCCTAAACCCAAATTCCTTTACCTTACCAATTCTTCACAAATTGTTTCTTTACAATATATAAATGTCCCTCTCTTTAATCACTTCTTTGAGTCTCTTATGTCTGTGTTACTCCCATACCTGCCTCCATAATTCAGTTAGTTTCTCTCCCGCTAAATTTTATTAAGGGGATTCATAGGCAAGATACTAGAAGGCTAGTATTGAAAATTATTTTTTCCCCTGTATCTTCCAGTGCAACACTCCTTCCCTTTTCCTTCATCTCTCCAAAACCAGGAATTTAGCCTTTTTAAAACATTTGCAAATTTACACTAAGTAAAGCTTACTTAAATTTTCCTTGGAATAAAGACAGCCCTGCCTATCCTAGGCAGTGGCACAGGGCCAGCCCAGTGGTTTAAGGGTGTGTAATCCCAAGGGAGTATCATCTCTCTTTCTCAGAAAATCCTTATACATGATGCATGTAAATGAAACAACTACTTTGTGTGCTGAATTACACTATAGTGGCACAGGAAGGCAGGACAACTTCCATTCCAGTAACAGGTAAGCATTTGTGTAGGATTTACTCGGGATCCAAAAGTAAGAGTTAACAGCTGGTATACACTCCAGACTTTGGGTTTCAACCCTGAGAGACACAATCTAGGTCTGCTCCCTGCTCACGATGCCCTCAGCCAGTTAATGTAAAATCACCTCCCACTGAAGGACTTGAAGCTCCACACTGTCAGGCCTAAGTCTATTAACACTTAGTGTCATCTGAACTGTCCACCTACCCACTCACACCTTCCTTTTGCTTCTCCTTTGGATACTAGAAGGTCACACCATGTTCTTAAAGGATTATTGCTTTTCTGTGTTATAATTCAATGAACAAGTCCTAATTCCTTAAACCCTAGCATTCCCAGTACTGGTGCAGTGTTTCCAAAAGGCAGGTGTTTAATGAAATCTTCAGGGATTAATGAGCCAGAGAGAATACAGTCTAATTTCTTAAGATTTATTTCTTGTACATTCTTGAGAAAGCTAGGAAAATACATGTACGTGTCACTTAATTTTACACAACAAGAACTAAAAAGCTTAAGAAAGACAAGATTTGAATATCAATTAGATTTGTGACTATTTTTCTCGATTGATCCCAACTTCTTAAAGCTCATTTCCTTTACCTATATAGGGACATGGCTATTGCAATGACATGTTTTTTTTTCTTTCCAGATGACAGTGAAAGATAGATGGTTTCACATCTTGTTTTCAATAACAACCAAACTCTTACTACAAAAGGTCCTTAAAGCATTACATAGGTGGAATGTATTCATAAACTCAGAAATTCTAAAGCTAATTAAATCTATACTAAAAAACCCCACTAATTTGAATGACACACATTACCAAAGGAATGGATTTTGAAGTTACAAATATCAAAGAGAGACACAGGCATACACTATGCTATCGGCATTATTGCTGACTTAAATTCTATGAAAATGAACTGCTTCTTCAAACAATGCATGGGAAAACTTTCCTTGACTTCCATAGGCATTGGAGGAGCAGCCTGGTTTGGCCTTAGAACAGGGAGTGACCATGGTAACCCATAGCTGCTCTGGCAATTCTTGCCTGAGATCTTTCCAGTTCTTCCTGGAACGCCTCCTCATACTGAGATGGGAAAGATCTTGGGTCAGACCCATAAACCTTGGCCAGATACGTTAGGACTTGCATCTTGGTGGTTTCAGCATGGGCTCTCGGGCCCCACAGGAATTCAAATTGAGCAGGATCACTGTTGGCCACCTGCTGGTACTTCAGGTATTCCTCCTCCACGAAATGTTTGGTGATGAGACAACTGGGATCTCCAAAGATGGCATGCTTCTTCCCAGGATATAACTTCATCACACTCAGAATTTTCCAGATTTCCTCTTCAGTGGCACGGTTGCCATTCATGAAGATGGCCCCCAGGAGAAGTATCAGGATGCCGGTCTTGGGCACGCCCTTTTCACCATGCAGCATCCCATCATAGGTGATGCCCAATCTGATGACAATGGCATAGCAGTGGTGGATGGGATCGATTTCCTTCACATCCAGGCCAAAGATCATCTGCATGCGCTCAGAGGCTTGTAGTAAGATGTCAGTGAAGTGATCTTGATACTCTTCGCTGATAATCATCAACATTTCTACCTTGGTTACTGGCTCTTTCATGTGATACTTGATCAGCAGGAAATCCACCAACAAAGCCACCCTTTCATCTAGAGCATCTGTGGTTATATCCTTGGGGCCTGTAACTGCCTGTGAGGTGTTACCCTCCTTCTCTTGGCTACTGGACTCCTCATGAGATTTGCTTGATGAAGTGGCTGTGGTGACAATGGAGGAGGAGGAGAAACTCTGAGGACTCTCAGGACTACTGGGGATACCAGCAGCAGGAGCCCCCTTCAAACTAACAGGAATGGGAGGGTAGGGGGAGACACAGGCCTTCTCCATAGCCTCTGGTGCCTCTGCAGCCTCCAGGCCTTGGGTCTCACAGTAGCTCTGAAGGGGTTGATTGGGCGAGGACTGTGTATTCTTCTGATGAAAAGCCATGACAAGTTTGTAGGTGGCAGTAATCAGGAGTGTGAACAGGAAGGCAATGGGGAGTCACTGCCTAAGGAAAAGAAGAAAGATGTGAGTGGCGTGAACTGCTAAGCTCAATGGAGGGCGGGGGGCTCTAATAAGAGCCGCCTGCCATGGACCTCTCCAGACAGCAGGACTACACCTGACCTCCTGGTTGCTCTATCCCCCTAGGACAAGAAGGAGGAATGCTCAATTCTCTTCAAGGTGCAGCCGGCCAAGCCAGGCTGAGAATTCTCAGGAATGACAGTACGCAGGTCAGGCAGTTGTGACTGTGCCTGGTAGGACTATTTGTGTTCTGAAGAGGGTGGTCCTTTCAGTGCCCACTCAGGTTCATTATTGAGGCATTCACAGAGCTTATGTCCTCTTCCCCATGCCAAATAAGGATGTCACCCCATGACCAAGTCATAGTTCATTTCAGTTATTTCTGTCTCCCTATGGAATCTTGCACTGGCTATTCACTCTATCCCCTGCTGATCTGAACCTGGCTGCTTTGAAACCAAACTGCCATCTTCCTAGACTCTAGTGCATAAGGTTAGTGCATATTAAAACCAATAGTCATCCACAGAATCAAACAGAACAGAAACAGACTCACTGGTACAGTGAACAGTGTGATGGTTCCCAGAGGGGAAGCAGGATGGGGGACAGGGTGATAATGGAATGGGATAAGGAAGTGTAGTTTGGTACTCATAAAATTGTCAGGTAAATATAAAGTATAGCGTAGGGAATGTAGTTAGTAGTATTGTAATAACTATGTAGGGTGATGAGTGGGTACCAGCAGTATCAAGGGGAACACTGTAAAGTATAGGATTGTCCAAACACAATGCAGGACACCTCAAACTAATACAAAATAATACTAATTATAAAATGTAATTGAAATAAATAAAATAACTAAATAAACAAAAAAAGAATGATGGATTATTGAGTGGGAAGTGAGGGCAATGTGATGATGGAAACAGATTATAATGATGCTGCCACAGACAGAGGATGCCAGTAGCCTTTGGAAGCTGGAGGTGACAAGGAACAGATTCTCTCCTGGAGCCTCCAGAAGGAAGCAGCCCTGCAGACATGTTGATTTGAGCCCAAGACTCATTTTCAGCTTCTGTTTTGTGAGCCACTGAAGTTGTATTAATTTGTTAGAGCAGCAATAAGAACTAATAACTGGTCATACTTTCTTAGTATTGTTACAAAATACTTTACAAACTGAAAAATGTTGACTGTCATACAGATGGAAAGTAACCACAGACTAGTGATTTTTTAACTTATGAGAAAAACAGGCAAATGTTTTAACTGGTTCATAAAAGGGAGCCATGTTATCACAAATGTATTCAAAATAAGCAATGTTAAAATGAAGGATCAAATGGAGCCCCAAATTTATTTTTTCACTGAGGGAATAAGGAAAGTCATTTCAGCTTCTGCCAGATAGGACAGAATTTCTGTCTTACTCTTTCCATGCAGGGTGGTGATGGTGATGAAAAATGTGCCAAAGGGTTCATGCCTGAGCTGGTGTGTAGGGAGACTTCACTGGAGGATGTGGTCCTGCTGAAGCTGGTCCCCAGGGCCAGCCTCACGGTAGCCAAGAATTTTAGTGGAGTGTGCTAGTGGGCCAGAGATGGTCCAGAACAAGTGGCCCACTGAAGGGTAAAGAAACTTTCTAGAGAATGAGTATCCTGGGCCTCCTACATGCTGATCTGGCAGTTTCACATTCACCGAAATATAAGTAACCAAAAAGGAGCTAAAATGGTAAGGAAAATGCTGGAACTATGGAATGCTGCATTTCACAAACAGCTTGCTTTTCTCACTTAACAATATAGTGTAATATCTGTCAATCACTGGCTATAGATATCTCTCTTAGTAGCTGCAGCATACCCACTGTGCAGGCACCCTACAATTTGAGATACCATTTACTTACTAATGGACAATTAGGTTGTTTCAAAGTGTTCACTACAACCAAACAATATAGAGTCTATGTAAATTATGCTTTAATGAAAGAGCTGCAGTATGCATTCTTTTATCTTATTTAACAATAATGGATATGCATAGATAAAAATCTGGAAGGATACACACCAAAATATTTACTCTGGTGGTCTTTGAGGTGGGGGGGGTTGGAGAATGTTCTCCTTCTATGTTATTCATGGCTCTATGGTTTAAAGTGTTTCTTACAAGGATGTGCTATTCTTTTTTTTAAAAAAAATTATTTATTTATTTTTAGAAAGGGAAGGGAGGGAGAAAGAGAGAGAGAGAGAAACATCAATGTGCGGTTGCTGGGGGACGTGGCCTGCAACCCAGGCATGTGCCCATACTGGGAATCAAACCTGTGATACTTTGGTTTGCAGCCCGAGCTCGATCCACTGACCTACACCAGCCAGGGCAATGTGCTATTCTTTACAATCAGGAAATAAAAAAGATATTCTGATAATGAAAACAAGAATAACTTAATAATCCCACCCTGCAATATTTTCACTGATGTGTCCCCTAGAGCAAGGGACATAAATGAAAGAACAAAAACATGGAACTTCATCAAATTAAAGAAAACATCACCAAAATAAAAAGAGAACCAACTGTATGGGAAAATACATTTGCAAATAATACCTCAGCAAGGGTGAGATCTCCAAAGTATATAAAGAACTCACATGACTCCACTCCAGAAAGACAAACAAACCAATGAAAAAATGGGCCAAAGACCTGAACAGACACTTCTCCAAGAAGGACATACAGAGGGCCCAGAGACATATAAAAGGATGCTCAGCATCACTAGCTATCATGCCGATGCAAATTAAAACCATAATGAGATCCCATCTTACACCTGTCAGAGAGGCCATCATAAACAAGTCAACAACAAGTGCTGGTGAGTTTGTAGAGAAAAGGGAACCCTAGGATACTATTGGTGGGAATGCAGACTGGTGCAGGCACTGTGGAAAACAGTATGGAATGCCCCCAGAAAAGTAAAAATGGAACTGCTTTTTGACCAGGCGATTTCAGTGCTGGGATTATACCCTAAGAAAACTGAAATGCCAATTCAAAGAACCTCTGAAGCCCAATGATCAAACGATTACCATTTACCAGAGCCACGTGTGGGAAGCAACCTAAGAGCCCACCAGTAAATGAGTGGGTCAAAAAACTATGGTACATTTACACAATGGAATACTAGGCAGCACAAACAAAGAAGGAGCTCCTACCATTTGGGAAGGCATACATGTAACTGGAGAGAATTGAAATAAACCAGGCAGTGAAACAAAAATACCATATGATCTCACCTATAACTGGAACCTAATCAACAAATCAAGCAAGCAAAATATAACCAGATACATGGAAATAAAGAACAAACTGACAGTAAGAAGAAGGGAGGAGGGAGGTGATAATGGGGGGAAAGGGAGAAGGGCCATCAAGGAACATGTATAAAGGACACAAGGACAAAGCCAGAGGGGCTGACAATGAGGGTAGAAGGTGGGATAGCTGGGGCTTTGGGCAGTGGGAGAGGGGAAATGCTGACAAATCTACTTGAACAACAATAAAAAAGAATAAGAAAATAAGAAAGAAAAAGGGGAAAAAACCCCTGCTAGCCACCATTATCTGAAACATCCCAGGGATTACTACACAGGCAGGTTACCTATCATGGAGGCCCATGTTCACTCAAGTAGATGGTCAGCTCTTTGCTCATACAAGGTCTACACCTTGAAACTTGATAGTATATCAGATGCTTCCCCTATGCTAACCTGATATCACTCCCTTGCACTATACAGTTTCATCCCTCTGACTACTGAGTATGAATTAATGGGGTGTCATATCGACAGTTCCCTCAAGTGTGACAGCAGGACAGGGCTCTGTTGAGAACATTCTGTTCCAGAGTGGGTGTCCCCATGACCCCCTTTAGGGTCCTTCCCATGACTAATTATAGGTACTGAGATCAGACATCACTTCCATAGAACAATGTCTTCACCCATAGTACAAGGAGCAAGCAGTTAAGGTGATATCTCTGTTACTCAGCTCTCCTCAGGGCCTCCCGGGGATGTCAGCAGGACTCAGCAGAATTATTTGGGCTCCTGACTTATGGGACAGGTGTTTATTTAGCCCTCTCTCAAGGTCTTTTCTTTGGCTACTGCTCAGACCTCAGCCCCCAGCTTCTGGCACATAAAGCCACCCTAGAAAAAAAGGTGTATTTTCATAGAGACAACTGAGAAGAAAGTCATGAGATGGTGCAGCCTTGGGCTCATCACCTAGAAGCCTGGAGGGGCCTGGGACTCCTCCTCTTGTCCTGAGTTTGCCCATCACAGTAATGCTTCACTTCTCAGTGAACACCATGGGACAGTGATGGGTTGTCTCATAAGACTATCATGGTTTGGGATCCCCCAAGGATTCCTTGGGGCCCTGGGAAAACCCTTTTAGGTGGAGAGTGTGCCCTTCAGACATAACTCAATAATACCTGTCAGGACACAGGGCTCCTTCTGTTGAATAATCTATTCAGAGCAAATAGTTTACCTTTTGGGACTCAGAATAGCAAGGGAAGACTGGCCTCTGGCTGCCAGTGCACCCTGGGCTGTTTAGGGCTGACAGCAGGGAAAAGGTCTCTGCAGCAAGCCCTATGTTTTCAGTTGGTTGGTCTCACAGCCCTCACTTGTGCTCTTCAATCTGATACAGGTTGATGTGTGCCCTGCTGTGCTCTATTGCTTTAGGTCCCACCTTCCAATCAAAACCCCTAGTCTCTGAGACCCAAAATTCACGTGAGGAGACACCCAATACCCAAGACTTTTGGGGCTGAAAAAAGCAGCAAGACACTGCACCACAGACAGCCACACCGGAGTGGTGAAACCCTAAGAATTCTCTGTTCCCCACCCCCCCCCCCCAACAACAACTTGTGCAGGATCTCAGACTCTGTTTTGTGGACCTTATCCTGTCAACCTCAACCTAAAGCCTCACATCTCTCAGACTCTGGAGGCCAAAATCAGTCAGAGACGCTTCCAAGAACACCTGCT